GCAGTACGCCGCCATCGCCATGTCCTTAGAGCAGGGATGATCGTAACACCAACCCCACACAGCGAATAGACTCCATTTCGGGGCATAGGCATGCCGCATAGAGGGTGCTTCCAGGGGATGTGCCAGGGAGGGGAAATCACGAGAAGAGAGCAGAAATACAGGTCCAATTTAGCCATAGAGGCACAATAAATAGACCCATTCCTCATCCTCCCTGACTTTACACAGTATCTGTGCGAGCAGGCAACAGCTCCAGGCAATTAAAATGCCAATGCAACCAGGTTCCTACCACGGATCCCCAGGTGCATGCCCGCACCACACGGCCCCCCAGCAAAACTGGAAGCATCCGTCAAAACAATGACATGCTTGCACACCTGTTCTAGAGGCACACATTCCTGTAGAAATACAGGGTTCGTCCAGAGGCTGAGTGCCATGCGCGTCTTGGGACCCGATCATGAAGCCAATGCTGAAGTGGTCTCATATGGAGCACCCAAGCGGTGAGACAGCAGCTGCAGATGCCGTATGCTCCAGAAGCTGCTCCAGTTCACAGTTTCTCTGTCAAACTCTCTCAGACAGGTCAGCTTCAGCTGGCCATCATGGTGATCGAGTCCAGCTCCAACCCAAGAAAAGGGATATGGGATATGCCTGGCCCATGGCAGTGTGGACTCTGGCTTCGAGGGAGGCAGATAACCTACACACCGATGAGAGAGGAGCTACCCTGGAAGGAGGGAGCGGGTTCAAATCCTCATCAGACAATAGCCCCTTTCACACATACAGACCTTTCCGGAAAATTACCGCCAATTTTCCGGAAAGGTTGTATGTGTGAACAGGTCCTTTTTGAAAATACTGGTAAATTCATTCTGGCTATTTTCCGTAAAGAGAAGTTGTAACATTACCAGTAATTTGCCGGAATGCTGTGCTGTGTGAAAGCAGAAGGAAGATTGCCGGAAAGAGCGCGTGCACGTCTAAAACGTGCTGACGTAAGACGTCTGCTTTAGCCAATCAGAACAGTCAGACGCATTTACGTCCGCACGGTTCATGAGAATAAAAGCCTTTGAATATTTTCCCAGACGCATTTAGCTGCTAGAAGTTAGTCAGATAACGTTTATATGTTCTTCTTAATGCCAACTGTGTAAATAAGCATCGATAAGATGCTTATAATAAGCCGCTGTTTGTTTACCTTCAAGCTTTGCGTGTGCCTGTGAAACAGCCAGTGAGCGCCAGCACACGCACATATTAAGAACATCTCAACATGCGAACGTGATCCTCCATATGCTTTGATCGAAGTTGTTCACAATACTGATCATCCACAGAGTTTGTAATGTAGTCAAATGTTTACTAATACAAGCACAGCCGTTTAAGGCTCATTTGTGGTGAGTGATGTCAGAATTTACCGGTATTTTGGAATGGATGTGTGAATGGTCTTTTCTGGAAAAATTCTGTAATGTCCTCGCCTGTGTGAACAGCGCTTTTTTGAATATACCGGTAAAGTCGTTTCCGGTATCACTGTGTGAAAGGGGCTAATGTACTGTTCTCCGGTGCAGCGATGGACATCTAAGCCTCTGTGTCATCAAGTGAGAGGGTGACCATCCTGGAACGGAGAGCTTCTCTAACTCAAAGCTTGGATGGAGCATGTGGAGGAGTGAAAGGGCCTGCAATCCCAAGAGCAGTAGATTTACTCCACTGTAACCCTCAGATCTGTCTAAGTGCCCACCATGAAGCGGGGGACAACCAGGGTGGATTGCTCTTTTACAAGAGCGAGCCGCAATCTTAACTGCACAACAGACATGCCACCGCAGTAATGGCATGCACTGCCCGCGAGCACTGCATCAACATGCTGGAACCCCAGACACGAAACGCAGTCCCATCATTCAGGGACAGGAAACCACCACATCCAGAAACGCACAGTCGGAGCGGCGTCATAAAAAAGACATGCTGCAAGACCATGTTGCTCTTTTAGGAAATTCACAACAATACAAATCCCCTTGGCTTGCCTGATCTCGTCTGATCTCGGAAACCTCTCTGGGGTCCGAACCCAAAGAACGCCAGGCCAGGTAGAAGCCCAGCTTGATCATCTGCCGCCACATATCACACACTCTGGATGGGAGAAGCAGTCCGCTTTCTCGTTCTCTCTCTGTAGATACATCTGAAGGAACCCTCATCTACTCTCTCAAAAACATCGTGAAATGATCTGAAGCTAAAAGGATGCCTCAGCTTGGCACACTTTTGCACTTTTATTCCAATCTGATTGTAAGTAGCGACAGCTGTGCATGCTGACGCTGCCAACATTTGTCATATGCATTTGTTTATATGGCAAAAACATGTATTTTTCACTAAAGAAGGTCCATACTGACTCCAAAAGTATACTGATTAGATCAGGCACTGGTGTGTGGACTTTGCGGGTTTTACAATGTGATCAAATGTTGATTGGTCAGTTTGAATGTTTCAGTATTTGGGCTTTGGTCACATGGTCAAGAAAGATAGGTCTTTTTTGCTCTGTGCTTTCCTGCTTTGCTCCTCTTCTGATCTGGAGTCTATCTTCTCTGCCTCTTTGAGGCCTACTTACTCTCTTTGTCTCTCCCTCCCCTGTCTCTCCTTCTGCCTAATTTTATCTTTACATTTAAGCTTGGTACAATTATCATTTCATATTTTACATTTTATACAGTTATTTTATAACTAATTTGGTTGTAAGCATAGCAAGTTATTGCCATTAAATCATTTCATTAAGTATTTGTTAATTACTTTTGATTTAACATCAACACTTAATTGCTCCTTATTGCAATACAACACAACCACATATTTCAATTAAATTCAATTCATCTTTATTTGTAAAGCACTTTTACAATGTAGATTGTTTCAAAGCAGCTTCACATAAAAGATCATAGTAAATTGAAACAGTGTAGTTCAGTTTATACAGAGTTTATACAGTAATATCAACGCTCTCCCACATTTTTAGCTATTAATACTGCCCTTATTTCCGTTTTTAATATAAGATTGCAGAAGATGGTTTGACTCGAAATTATTAGGTTTTTTTTACCATCATACTGATCATTTTTAGTCATTCAGCAAAACTACTACCGCTGTGGTTAAAACCCATTTTTACAAGATGATTGGATTCTGATGAAATCCACGTAGTAGAAGTTTCCACATAGCATTGAAGTTCCTTGAGAACTAATAATAAAGTGCCAGTATGTTTTCTGTTATTGTATTCCCTTAATGCTATATATATATATATATATATATATATATATATATATATATATATATATATATATATATATATATATATATATATATATATATATATATATATATATATATATATATATATATATATATATATATATATATATATATATATATATTGTTTCTTACACAACATATTTTTCAAACTACTAACATCAATAATTTAAAAATCACTGTTTAGAAAGTTTATATATAAGAAATATTCATCACCAAAAGCAGACAAAGAGATAAAGCTCCCATAATGAAATTCATAAGTGTAAATAAACCGAAAACATATCACAAAATACGAGAATCTGTTAATAAATAGATTTTTTTTTTTTTTACAGTGTATTTTGATCTTTGTTTGTTACAGGACCAGAACCCCACATCTCCAGTTGGAAAAAGACCAACATCAAGCAAGGTATGAAAACTTGTTTCCAAGATATGCTTTAATTAACCCAGTGATGAAACTCACTATGTCTTCGTTTGATTTAAAGTTCAAACTAACCACTAGTAAACATCACGCTTGAATTCTAGAATAGTTTACAATATGTTGTATAAATATTAAATTTGTTATTCTAAAAAGGGTTTTATCATATTGTACACTTTATTTTTGAATATAACTATCTGTGTGCTGTTTGTATTATTTGCTTGTTTAGTCTACTAAAAGGGACAGATGACCTAGATACATTTTTATGCACTATTCACTCACTCACAAGTGCTTTCAAAGATTTATGTTTTTTTTCTGTTGAACACAAATAGAAGATATTTCAATATAATTTCAAATAAAATGAAATATTTATTTATTTTATTTTGAAAACTGGCAACCGTTGACATCTATAGTGTCAAACAAATACTATGGAAGTCAACTGTTACTTTTTTTGTTTTTCTTCTTTTGAGTTCAACAGAAAAAAATTTTTATAAAGGTTTGTGACAAGTGACGTGTGAGTAAATCATGACAGAATTTTCAGTTTATGTTGAACCACCCTTTGAATCATTATCACTTTGTGAAATTCTGTAATTGTATACTCAGTAAATGCCAAATTCCACCCTTAAAATTCCCCTATTACTCTATGCTAATCCTTGTTAAGAGGTCTCCTATAGTAGACTTGTATCCATTAAAGGTTAAAAACACTTTCATTTTCTCCTAATATATATTACAGTTCACCTCATATCTCAAAGAGTCTCTAGCAGGTTTTATGATCATGACAGAATTTTTAATTTTTTTCATGAAGGTTCATAAGATGCACTCAAATAATTCTCCCTTGACTTTGACAACAAAAGCCTTTTTCTGCGTTTGTGGGTTGTAAAAAGCAGATTTTTTTTTTTTTTGTGGGCAGCCAAAGAAGACCCTCAGCACACTGGAATTACTGAGAAATGTATTTGGGGGATTTTTAGAAGAAAATAACTTTTTACGTACTGTAAACAATCATAATGGACCACTTTAAGGCCCTTTCCTACCAAGATGATGATGATAGTTTAGTTATAAGGATCAAAATATATTGTTGAAATCAGTTTATTGATTAAACTATTGATTTTTTTTTTTAGCATATTAACTGCAAAACCTTGAGAGCAAAAATCAGAATCCATGTCTATAACAGAACTTCAAAAAACAAAAAGAGATAATATTGTTATTGTTATAGTTATCTTTGTAGAAGTCCATCTATTAGCCCAATGACGAAACTAAGCATGGTCGAAGGTTAAATGCATGTAAGCCTTTTCTACTGCTTATGAAAAGAACTGTTTTTTTATTTGAATTTATCTCTATTTGTTTTTTAGCTCAGAATTTATTCTGACTCCAATTTTAAGTGATCGTCAAATTTAGACTGTATTTCTGCTTGTAAGAATGGATCACATTCATCATTTATGACTCAATTTAGAGTTTTTATCTGTATCTGTTCCTATACTCTTCAGTTATGCGTTCATTAGAGACCAAACGCCACTCAGAGTTTTACGCCCCTGGTTTGCCTGTCTTCTCACTGACAGTATGTCGACACTCTAAAGTTAGTCAGAGGATGTAGGGTTAGCTAATACTTAAATAGTCTGGTTGCCAACTGCTTACTCATCCTAAAAAGTAGTAGATTTAGCCACCTCCATACAACTTGCTAATTTCAGCGATTAGATCTCCATGCTGTCATGTCAAAACGACTCTGTACAGTCAAATATGTCTTTAGAATCGAAAGTCTATGCTAATCATAAAGGTAGCCCAGTCCATCTATCAGCCTAATGATGAAACTAACAGCACGGTTGAAGGTTAAATGCATGTGAGCCATTTCTAGTGCTTCTTAAAAAAATGTGTTATTTATTAGAATTTATTTATATTTGTTTTTTAGCTCAGAATTTAATCTGACTCCAATTTTTAGTGACTGTCAAATTTAGACAGTATTTATATTTGTAAGAATGGATCACATTCATCATTTATGACTTAGTTTAGAGTTTTGATCTATATATGTTCCAATACTCTTCTGTTTTAAGTTTACTAGGGACCAAAGGCAACGCAGAGCTTCACGTCCCGGGTTTGCGTGTCTTCTCACTGACAGTATGTCGACACTCTAAAGTTAGTCAGAGGATGAAGGGTTAGCTAATACTTAAATAGTCTGGTTGCCAACTGTTTACTCATCCAAAAAGTAGTAGATTTGGCCACTTCCACACAACTTGCTAATTTCAGTGATAGGATGAATAAAGATTTCCATGCTGTCGTGTTAAAACGACTCTGTACGGTCAAATGTGTCTTTAGAATAAAAAATCTAATCAAGTTGAACTATAAAGGTAGGGCAGACTGCACTTAATCTACTGGATATAAAAAAAAAAACTAATTCAGGAGAATTCAGAATAAATCACAACTTAATATTTTATTTGTCAGGTAAAATTGTATTTTGCCAATTACATAATAAAACAATCAGAAAGCCAATTCAGAGATTATACTGTAAAAACACAACATCCATTGGTCAAAGATCAATCAAAAAGTTAGAGATGCATTTCTGACTCGATAAGTAGCTACTGTACGTTGCAGCATAGAAATTTCAGAGACTCACTTTCAACGGGGTGTCCTGGCTGCAAGATCGCAAAGATATTTGAGCACATTTCCTTTAAATACTCAACTCAGAACAAACAGCCATAAATTCAAGACAATAGAAGCATCACAGAGACTCTTGCCTGGTGAATTTGAAGTGTTAATCATCTCTTAGGGGCCGATCACACCAAACGCGGATTTATTTTCCAAAAACGCGAGGCGCACCACACTGCCTTTTTTGTTGACAAGAAAAAAGGAGCTCGGTATGCTTTTCATTTTGGTTTGAATGTACCTTTAGATCTCAGGTTTAACCAAATTTAGCATCAAAATGTTTGCTTAATTAATTTGAGGAAAAACAAATCATTAATCTGTTTGCCTTCACTGGTGTTTATTGTTTTCATAATCACACGACTAACATGAATTATAACTTTCTCATCTGCCTGTTTTCTGACTGCTGAAATTAATAACCACTAGAAACTTTTGAAACAAAACACTTGTTTTCTGTTGGCATGCGGTTTGGCTTCCTTGCAGTTTAACAGGTATGTTTGACTTCTTAGCTTGTAATTAATCCTTTGACAAAATAGGCTAACATACCAATTAAAACAATCTAAATGTACTTGTTCTTCATTTTTTTATTCCAAGATGGCTGAAGGTGCAAAAAACATCACTGAATGTTCACCTGAATCAAATCCCCCAACGCCTCACCTGGAAAACAGAACTGAAGAACATGAGCGGCCCTTTACTTCACCACAACCTACAAGAGAAGTAATTCTGAATCAGCGTAGACAGAAATGTGAGCTCAAACGACTGCTAAAACACACCTGTCCAGAGTTAAAAAATGTAGACAGCTTGGTAGAAGAAGAGTTGGCTGATATTCTCAACATCAACCCAGCCACAGACAGTGGATTCCAGAGTGACGTCCATTCCAGGTGCTGGATGTTTGAGAAGCATGAAAACAGTTCAGAGGATTCGCTTGATCAAAATCTACATGTGAATAAAGATTTTCAAGAGGGTGACTTTAAGAGAACTGTTTGCATGTTTGAACAGCCGACGTCTAACCCCCTCAATGAAGAAAACAAGCCTCAACTCGATGAATCAGAGGAGGTGACACCAGAGCAAAGCATCAGGGTGGATGTGAAAGCCACACGTAGGATGTTTGAAACTCAATCAATTGATATTCTGAGGGACATTCAAAGCCCCTGTCCAAGAAAAAATGAAGACAAATGTGGATTGGATCAGAAACCAAAACACGTTTCTGAGACTAATGGAAAAGAAACACCAGGCATTCACCACAAACCTGATATCATAGACGCAAATGAGGTATTTGCAGGTATATCGAGAGCCAAACAAGTTTTTGAAAATATATCACATGACAAGGAGAACATTCCACCAACAAACAACAGCATTACCCAAGAGGAAGAAATGTTGAAGGCAAACGTGCGAAACAGAGCTCAGATGTTTGAATCAACTCCTCTTGATAAGATCAATCTCCAAACCAAAGAAGAATCAGAAACCATTCTGGAGGATATGCAAGAAACTCTGCTTTCTTTATGCAACTTCAGTATTATTCATTCAGATGGATCTATCCTTGAAGCTAACGAATCTGGCCACGTAAAAAAAGCAAGATATCACTTCATAGAAGACACGAGAGCAGTGATTAATGAAGAAGAAATAGTAACTGGAAGCATAAAGAGCATTATGCTTCAGATGCTACCAGGAACTAACTTTAACCCAACGGTGACCTTCTTAAAAGAAGACAGCCAAGGCAATGTGGAGATTCTGAAAGTAGACGTTCCCATTCACCAACTTCCGTTCACTCAAGATAAGGAGTGCAGAACTGCAAATGTGGTTCAGATTACTGAAGATCTACTTGGTCAAGAGGAATCCCTCAGGAAAGGAGTCTTAATACAAGACGGTGCCACAGGAATTGGAGAAATAACAGTTTATGCTCTTTTTATCCATAGTAAAGGTAGTACAGGGCTTATGGGGTTTGGTAAAATTGAGGGTAGATCCATTTCCTCAAGTCTAAGTAACGGTCCAGCATCTAAAAAGATTAACCTCAAACAAGATGTTAATTCATCTGAAAGTGCTTTAGTAGTAGAAACAGGCAAAACCAGTAATGTGCAACTAATCCAGGGTTCTGTTAAGAAAGAAGAGCCTAATCACCAGGAAACAGAAATAAGTGAGTCTACTGGGCAATCAGAGAAAACAGGACCATGCAATGTTAACAATATCAAATCCCTTTTAAGTACCAGTACAGATCAAGATGAAAATAAGTCAAAAGTAGCACCAGCTGAAATGTTGTTAGATAATAAAACAAATACAGAAGAAATGAACCAATTTAACAATCTTAAAAATGACGGTATTCTCCAAGATCAGGGTATCTATGAGGATGGAGCTGTTCTTCAGGCAGAATTGGTTGATGTTGTGGAAGATGATGAGTTGGTGAATCTACAAACAGCCATTAAGAATCTTCATCAGGCCACAATGGAAGCAAAAGCTCTTCAGCAGAGTGTACAAGCAAAACAGTCTTCTCAAACAAAGCAAAACCAACAAATCTGTGATCCTGGTTCAGAGAACCAGGAGTTTACACAATATACTAAAACAAATGAGAATGGAGAGCTCTCACAGATTTCCAAAAACGAAGAGGAAGAATCCGATAAAGAGGAGGTCATGAGAGGTAGCATACAGGCAGCTCTTGATTCCTTGGGAAAATCTAACTTTAATGTCACTAAGGGTGATTTCAGAGCAGCAATGATTTATAGGAACTCTGGTAAAGGATATGCAGGACACAAAAAGATAGATGTAGAACTCTCAAGTAACAAGACAAAGGACAATATCTCATTAACATCACCTCCTGTTCCACCAATTGAACAGGAGCAGTCACCTGGTGAAGGACATGTCACAACCCCTTGTGAAAACAAACCTATGACATGTTCTCCCTTACAAGTCTCTATAGATACAGCTCCTAAAAATCCTAAAACCCCTCGAGGACCCAAGCCAGCTCTTCCACCTAAACCAGATCATTTAAAAATAAAGCCAAACTCTCCTGGTACTCAATCTGACCTAGACCATCACAAACAACCAGCAAACGCCCGGCAAACAAGTCCCTCAAAGCCACCAACTGAGCAGATTAAAGAACCTTCATCTCCCAAGCCAAACCCAGACTCAACATCTCATAAAGATGTAAACTTCCAAAGTGTACAGAATACTGATTCCAATAATCACAAACCTGGTGATACCTCAGTAAGTAATACTGAAAGTCCTGAAGAAAAAACTCTGCAAGAAACTCCAAAGAGTTCCCCGGAATGCACTGCCAGTGAATCTTCCACAGGATTTCATGCTACTCTTCAAAACTTCAGGGTGAAGCCAAGTGGTTCAGTGCCTCCAGTGAAACCTAAACGAATCAAAATGGCAAAGGAAAATGCAATGAACATTGCAGTAAACTCCACAGCTTTGGAAACTGAAACGGCACAAGGAATCCCTTCTTCTCAAGACAATGGTGAGACTTCTAAAATAGACAGCAGCAAACATGAAGAAATAAGTGATGATCAACAAGTTGATAAAGTGGTCAGAAGGGAAAAGAAGATGAGAGGAGAGACTGAGGATGAGCGAAGGCAGAGACTCTCTGTGCATATGGATGAAATCATGAAAGGAAATGTACCGGCTGTCATGGAGATCTTTGATAAGCTGAAGCAGCAAGAAGAATTGAAAAGCATACTCTCGAAAGTGGAGGAAATTGAGGAGGACACTCACAAAGTAGATGTGAGCTCACTCAGAAACATTTTCGAGAATGTACCAGATTGGGTAGTTCCTCAAGAACAGCCAAAAATTACCATACCAGAAGACTTAGAATCACTAAGTGAACCAGAGACAATGACTTCAATGGAGGTGGCTTTTGGAGATCTAGAGAAAGCTGGTGCAGATATCATTCGTTTAAAAGACCAGACTCTCGAAAGACTCATGGATATAGAGGAGGCTATAAAAAAGGCTCTTTACTCTGTATCAACCCTGAAATCTGATTCAGACATTGTAGGGCTTTCTGGTCTTTTCAGGGAGTCCATGGTGGCCGTACAAGGTTCACCTCCATCAGGAAATATCAGAAAAATCAGCATTGGCTCAAGCAAATCTCCAAAAGCATTGAAACAGATTGGAAGAAGTCAACAGTCAATAGTGCAGAAAAAGCCAGAGCTTATTATTCCTACAACCAAACCAAGATCAGCTTCACCAGGGTCTCCTTCGTTTATTTCTATTCAGTCTGCAGCAAGGAAACCTTCAGAGCTGCCATCGCCTTTAAAAGAAGACCCCAAAGAAAGGCCTACACCTCAGTGTTGCTGTAGTGTTCCTTCAGACCGCAGGCAATGTTCTGTTACAAAGAGTCCATCTACCAACCCTGCAAATCCACAACGGCAGGTCAGTGTGCTGGAAGTGAAAACAATGCCTGAAGGAGAGAGAGTTATCGGGACAAAAACCATCAAAGAGAACTATGAGAGGACCGACTCCTTTGGCAACAAGTTCTATTCCTCAAAAACCTCCACAGTCGTGACAACCCAACCTGAAACCAGGACAACGTCCAGAAAGCTGATCATGAGCAATCCAACCATGTCAGAAATTGTCACATATCCAAGAATCAACACACCGCTAATTAGAGAGGACCATCCACCACTGTAAATTTGGAACATTTTTGATTGTCTTATATTAAATATTTAATAATATAAGAGTTTATTCATTTAAATCTAACTGCTTTTGTACTTTTTAGCTTGGTTATGTTTTGTAGGTTACTTTATTTTTCCTATTTAAGGTCATTGATGTTATTTTAGTTTTTGTTGTTGTTTTCTCTTCTGTGCTGTAATATTTTAAAAAACTATTATTTATGTTGTGTGTTGACATTTCTGTTAATAAATTATCATTAGAAGTTGTGCCATATTTGTCAATAAAAAATAAACTTGTCATGCTGCATTATATATTATTTTTTAATGGTGCTTAATAAGCCAAACCAACCAACCTAAAGGTTTAATAATTGGCCCACATTCTTGTTTCACAAGACTCACATCATATGAACCTTGACACTAAAGTAGTTGTTTTCGCATGAGACTGGCTGAAACATCATGATCTACATCAGGCATTTGTGGTCTAGGATCTAGAGGAGATTACAAGAGGGTCGGTTGAAACATTTTCGGAAACATATACATACAACAAACCAATAAAAAAATACTAATAAACATTTAACAAAAATATCTGTTAACAAAAAAAAACTGTTAAATTTAACAAAAAAAATTTACAGAAAAAATCTGTTAAAATGGTTAAATAAAAATGTGTCACACAATTTTAATATTTAAATAAGTAAAATAATGTACAAATAAATGATTAACAAATTGTATATTTTATTAAACATTTCAAATGTTTTTTTAAATTATATTTTAGTCTCATTTATAAAATTACACTTTTACCGAATATTTAGCATGAGGGTTAAAATCAATTTAAACATTTTAAATCAATAAATCGAATTCATTATTTAATCTAAAACATTAAAAACAATCAATGTGCACTTTTAAATGCTTTACACTTTCTTTGAAAAAACTATTTACCTATTTTCTTTAAATACAAATTAATAGATATTTTATAAAAAAAAGTATTAATATTTATTTAAAGTGCTTTTAGAATTATACTAGTTACAAATGTTCCTAAACTTAAGAAAAAATACTGCATCGTGTTTGAGATATACTCTATACATACAAATAAAAATAAAAAAACATAAAAAAAAAAATTTGTATAAAAGGAGAAAAGAGATGCAACTGACATTGTAAGTTAAAAGTGCTGTTGGTGATCTTCTACAATGAAAACAGCTTCGCATAAACCTCTGAATCACAGTCCCTCCCCTGCCGGCTAGAGCCACGCCTCCTTAAATACAAGCACAGCAAAAGAACCCTCTCTCATGTGTTAAAAGCGACTAGTGCTTGTCTGGCGGCGAGCAAGCCAAACTGACATGCTATTTCAGAGTAAATATTTAGAGTTGCATGGTAAACAATATAGGGAGAGACTAGGCGGAATAGAGGTATTTATTGGGTTTTGTTGTTAAAATAATTATCAATACTGTAAAAGGTCCCTTTTGAAACTGAAATAGTCTTATCAATCTTTCATCGGAAGATTTTAGGGGCTGAACAACACTTCTGTGAAGATATAACCCATTTGTAACATCTAACGTCAGTTTTGCGTGAAGCTAAAATAGTTTTTAAACAGAACATTACCTGTCTAAGAGAAATCCTTCAGCCATTGTGTCATCCTTTCTCCAGCATGCAAAGGTAACTCTAATAATGATTCAGGTTTTTAAAAAGTTTGGATTCAGCAGGTTTTTACAGATCGTGTGCGTGCTCTCTCTCTCGTGAATGTGCGACGGTCGGCGGAGCTGCGTACCGACACTATTTAATTGGATGAACATGTTTTAGTTTTATGCCTTATCTAAAATTTTAAAATACATAAAATACATTTAGATCATTTATTTTAATCATTACTATTAGACTGTGAAGAGACTTTCAACTAACACAACAAAAAATGCTTCTGAAGACAATCACCTACTGCACCTTTAATGATAATGCTGCAATAATGACAACATTGCTAATATATGTACAGATTGCAATCATATTACATACAGTCATACTATATAGAGCATATTCATTACAAGTGACAAGGCACAAAGTACTCAAAACAAGTTCCAACTGAAGATATAATGAAGACAGAATGCACCCTTTCTCGCAAACACTAGATTTACACTAGTATTGTAAAGAATCTCATAAAAAAACCAAACACCCCAATAGCTTTCAAAACACCCTTAGCTCAAAAATGTTTGACCCTTTCAGTCTAATGCTACAGTATAATTAACCCTTTCATTCCACTGCAGTTTCAGCCGGTGGCTCAGGAAACATGCTCAGCCTGTCTGAAACCTGTTTACCCCATGGAAAGAATGGCAGCGGATAAACTCATTTTTCACAAATCCTGCTTCTGCTGCAAACACTGCAAGAAGAAACTGAGGTAAGATCATTTCTGAAAACGACAAACCTAATAACACTTACAACCTAGTAAAGGATTAGTTTACACCAAAAAAAAAAAAAAACATTATTAATTACTCATCCTCATGTGGTTAAAACTCCTAAAACTTTGTCTTTGAAATTATAATTACATTCAAATTATAATATTTTAGATGGCATTCGAGAGCTTCCTCATTCTCCTTAGACCGCTGTGGTCTAGAGATGACCAGAACAGGAACCAAAAACATTGTCAAAACATTCCATGTGACTTCAGTGGTTCACCTATAATGATACAAAGCTCCAAGAACATTTGTGTGCCATTTTTTAAAAATGGTTGCTTATGTCAGTGCAATAGCTTAGTAGAAAGTGTGCCAACATATAGCACAACTGCATTACAGGCGTCCCGATTTAAAGTCCTGACTCGTGGACCTTTCTCGATCCCATCCTCTTCTTCTCCCCCATCTCTCCAACTTCACTTCCGTCACTGTCCTGTCATAAAACAGGCAAAAATGCCATCAAAAAAAAGATTTTTTTTTTTTAGAAAGCCTACATCTTGTGCATCACATTAACTACAGGCAAACACATTACTTGTGTGTTGCGCTGCAGATCCCAATGGCAATATGTCATACTGCCCTTAATAAATACACACCCTGACATCTGAGGCAAACAAAGTCATTTCTTACAGTTTATTGGCTCACAAATGTGTTCTTGGAGTTTTGTTTGGCTACAGTTAAACCACTGAAAACACATGTAATGGTTTTGACAATGTTTTTGGTTCCCTTTCTGGACATTGAACCTCACAAGCATTGTTACTGTATAGAGGATGAGGGAGCTCAGGGATTTATCTTAATTTGAGTTCTGAAGATGAATGAAGGTCTCAGGGATTTAACAAAATGAGGGGTAGTAATTAATGACCGAATTTTAATTTTTGGGTGAACAAACCCTTAAACATATATTTTAAAAATTCAGGGCTATTTTAAACCAACTCTAGGACAAATATGGACAATTTTTTTTTACCTAACCTGTTAGTTTTGTCCTTATTTGACCCTAAGTTTGTTTTAAATAACCAAGCACTGTTTTTTAGAATGTACACAATACTGTACATCATAGCAAATCATTAATTTGGGACATGCTGAGGTTTGTGCAGGAGGGTTTAGACTTTGCCTCTTTAAGTTGTTAAACTACTTGAAGTCTGCTGACTTTGCAGCTTTTACTTAAGTATTGATCTAAAAAAAATCTGCTATTTTGATAAATTTCTTTGATACGAACCGATCATAAGCAGTGAATGTACTAAAAGATGTTTTGCTTGGTTTCAGTCTTCAAGGCTATGCTCCTCTCTATGGCGAATTCTACTGTGTTTTCCACTATCAGCAGCTTTTCAAGAGGAAGGGTAATTACGATGAAGGATTCGGCCGTCAGCAGCATAAAGACCGCTGGATACAGAGGAATGACACTAACGTCATTTAGAGCCACTGAACAAGTATATGAGCCATAACCTTCACATAGCAGATGGTCTGGTGTAGGAGAATATGATTTGTTGTACTACTTTTTTATTGTGTATCAGAAAGTATAAATCAATGCAAGGATACCATGTGATTTTATAAAGCAGTTTATACCTATAAATCAGTATCAGTCCATGTTCTGAAGTCTGTATGGTTGATATGTTTGAGAGAAGCACCATAAAGTGGTTGCAAGAAATGCTCCACACCTGTCTAATGAATGGTAATAATTTCATAACAAATGTACCAAAAGCATGGATGTCAAGGATAAAATTTGACATGAAAATGTGTACATAGGTTTTATTTTGTTTGTTTGGTTTTTTTTGTCTGAATGTTTCTTTATTATTATAATTGCTGATGTTAATTGCAGAAGTTATAAATAAGTTACCACATTTCTTTGGTGCCTACTAATAAATTCTTTTTTTTTTCATCTGAAGAGTACTACAGAAAAACACTCATATGTCATAAATAAATCGCTGATGTTTACTTTTTGTATTGAAAGGATAAAAAAGTACAAATTCATTTTAATCAATAAAACTTTACAAACATGATACTTGCAGCATGAAAGGTAAACCTGAAAATATGAGAAGTTTGATTTGAGTCATTCACACTTATTGATAAAATCTATCATTGTCATCAACAGCAGTATAAATCTCATAATTTTGTGCTCCTGAGAGCCATTCCTTGCTCCTGATTCAGTCCATTTTCAATACTGGCTTTTTTTGATCCCCTGAAAATAAAATATTAAGAAAAACATTTAACATTTTGATTAAATCCTGCGCATCTTAATAATCTATTGCATAAGTTGTTTTATATGGAAGCATGTTTCCACCACAGGATTAAATAAATAAATACTTTAAATGGGATTTAAACCTACATTTTCTTTTTACAGTTCATAGAAATAAATTACCTACTTAGAATTATTATAATTCACAGAAAATTACGAAATATGGGATATAAACAAAGTTCTGAAGGAACAAAAATAAAATTGTGCGAGAAATTTATTGCAAGGGCAATAAGAAAAAGCCGGACGAAAACATAAATAATTATTGAGTAATAAGTGAAAAATACTGAGCAAAACAAATAAAAGAATATAATAGGAGAAACTCAAAAAAGAGCGAGAAAAAATCACAATAACAAGACATAAGCACATCATTTAGGGGAGGGGGGATCAGCAGTGAGAAAAAAACTCTGAACTGCAAGATATAAACTCATAACTATACGCAAAAATATCAGATTTACAAGAGGTAAAAAATATCAAAAAGATTTCAGCAAATAAAACTACAAGAGAAAAACTCAGAAATTTGAAAAACAAACCCGAATTATAAGAAACAAACTCTATTTGCCAAAAAAAAAAAAAAAACGAACTGCAAACAATGTAACTATGTAATGCTCAGCATAGCTTTGATTTTTTGATTTTTTTCCCCATATGATGTCTAACAGACCGAGGAAATTTTTATTTCTTCCAGGGAGAAAGTCTTATTTTGTTTCATTTCGGCTTGAATAAAAGCCATTTTAAGGTCAAGATTATTAGCCCCTTTAAGCTACATCTTTTTTCGATAGTCTACAATATTTTACTTGAATTTAGTTGTATTACATACTTTCAAATTTCCAAATTTGTTAGGTGACTAAAATATTTACTTAATAAATCTGTTTTGTTTAAATGCACCACAATAGATTGCCTATATTCACTGAGAAATGGATACAAATATTCATTTTCAAAATGCGGTGTACTCAATTATCTATTTTTGTTTATCTCTGACTTGCTAATATTTTTTCAGTTTAAGAATTTATAATTTAGAAATATTTGTAAAATATTACCTCACAACTGCAAGAGAGTCAAAACTGTGAGCTAAAATACTACAATTACCGTTCGATTTTTTAATCCCATGGCAGAAACAAGCTTGCATACTTAATAAGTAAAAAGCCACTAATATAAGAAATATAAGCAGTATAAACGCACATGCTCTCATCCGCAGGGATATCCGTGTGGTCCTGTAGGTCAGTGTTCAGTGTTTCTGGAAGCAGGAAGGTCAGAGCTCCTCCAACAAAAGGCAGCGAGCCGTATATGATCATAGGAATGGCATGATGATAAACGTCCAACAAGCCAATCAGAGGAGCCAGAATACCAGCCACACGGGCACACATGGAGTTCAGGCCCACCCCATTCTGCCTGTATTAATGCATTAATCAATGAGAGCTCATATAGACTGCATAGTTGAATATAGTGAGTGTTCATGCAGGTTGTTTATTACACACCTCACAACTGTTGGGTAGAGCTCAGCGGTGTACACGTATACAATGGAGAAGGAGGCAGCGAGTGAAAACTTCCCAATTACAGCGATCACAGTCACAACTATAGGATATTCTGGAGAAAATAAAAAAAAACAATACAGAAATCAACAATATTTAATAGTTCATTTTCCAACTTTATCAATGATTTTAAGGCTTTGTTCACTTCAAAATGAATATCCTCCTATCTCCTATCCTCCTATCTCCTATTCTATTCTAAATGAATATCTCCTATCTTATCCGAACCCAAAACAAATCTTTCGACTATTTGTAATGAGATATGAAAGCTTTCTTTCACTTCTGAAAGTCTAAGTCTGTTCACTCAAAACAAAAAGTTACAACTTTAAAACATAATTTTAATTGAAAAGTTTAAATTAAGATAAATTCCGCCAGACATAATCACTTGACATAATGTAAATATTGAAATTAGGTTTTTAAGTGATCAGTTTAGTTCACAGCAATCAAATTAGGTGATGGGAGCTCAGTCATGCTTGCTTAATGAGTGAGAACCAATCAGGTTTATTTTTTTACCAATGTCAATATACCAATTATGGACCAATTTGATTTGTTTTCAAACATTTTGCAAATATGGTACTATGTTTAGATTCACTGATCAATATATGTGAATAAATGCATTATTTAAATCTGGTCATCATATAAAGTGATTGTGTCTTTTCGGAATCCTTGGATTAAGCCTCTTCATAAACACTTTATGGATGTTTTGAAGCATAATAATTTAATGTAATCAGATTTTGAACTGAGTAACAAAAATATTAGTATGTTTGTATAAAATATGTATAATGAGGCTCATATATTATGCACGGTTGAAAATTCAATGGTCTATACATTACTTCCATATCTGACAAATCCTGTTTATTAATCCTAGACAGGCTTTGAGCTAAAATGTCTGCTATTAATTTGTTAAAGGCTTTTGATACTTTTTGCGGTTTTCTCATTTTTAAGACCTGCCAAATATCAGATAGGGTGGCATGGTGGGTAGCGTTGTTGCTTCACAGCAAGAAGCTGTGTCAGTTTTTGTGTGGAGTTTGCATGTTCTCCCTGTGTTCACATGGGTTTCCTCTGGGTGCTCCGGTTTCTCCTACAAGTCCAAAGACATGCGCTATAGATGAATTAGGTAAACCAAATTCTCTGTAGTGTATGTATGTCAATGAGATTGTTGGGTGTTTCCTAGTGGTTGGGTTGCAGCTGGAAGGGCATCCACTGCATATGTTGGATAAGTTGACGGTTCATTCCGCTGTGCCGACCCCTGATAAATAAAGGGACTAAGCCAAAGGAAAATGAATGAATCAATAAATCAATCAATCAATCAATCAATGACTTATCAGATACTTGTTATGCCCCGCTATATGAACAATTGAAATTCCATAGGGTGTGCTAATGTTTTCATAACTGTATTGTGAAGCTATTTTTGTATTTTGAGGTACTTTTTTAATATTCATTTGTTGGATAAACCAAAATAAAATGTAACATGTACAGTTTTTATTTTTTATTTATTTTTTTAATTTTGGGCAAACTAGTGTCTCTCACTTGCTGGGATAGCAGGAATAATCAGGCAGGCTGTGCCTCCTAGCAGCAAAACGACACTTTGGCAAATTCTCCGTCCAAAGCGCTGAATGAGAGGAAAGCAGGACAGCCGTGCAGGAAACTCTGCCATGCCAAAGATGAGTTGAGTCAGGTAAATGTCCAGGCCGAAGTTCCCCACATTCAAGCTGACACCATAGTAAACCAGGGATGTCACAAACCTTTGATAACATAAATAAACATACAGTATGATAAGACATTCGCCTTCTTTGTTATCAGTTTTTCTCAGCTTGGTTGCATTTGGTCTTTTATGCAAAATGATAATGCATTATTCATTGTTAAATGCTTTTGTGCTGTTTTATATGACATGTAATATCTAAAACTAGCAGACTATGTAGATGTTTATTCTCATAAAAGATTTTGGATTTATAATAAATTTGTGAAAGCCTGTGGTAACTTACCACATATAGCACATGATGAGAGCTCTCTTTCTCAGGTAACCCACTCGGAACAGGTCTATCATGGTGCTTGATTTGGCTGTGTTCTCTGCTTCCATCTGATAATGCATCATTTTATGTTAATTAAACCTTTTAAAAATACTTTGAATTTTTTTTTGCAGGCCAGATTTCCTAAAACGTCCAAATTAGAGCACTTCGAGACCACTAAGTGGAAAGTTTTGCAGGTGATCAACAAATTAAAATATCCAGCACCTCATTTCCATAGTGCTAAATGCAGTGAGGTCTACCAAAAGCAAATTAAATATAATGTAGAATGGCAATAGATATGTTGCAATAATGTTGTCTTTTGCCATTCTTAACAAATGAACATGAGCAGTGATTTTCTTTTTCTCTACACATGATTTTTCTCCTTATCTTTTAGCAACTATATCAGCTTGTTCTGAACATAATGTATAAAATTAAGATTTGTGGGGCTTTAAAAATGGTGTAAATACAAGTGAAATGTCAATAACCTTAGAAAACTATGTTGTGTCACTGTAGTAGTGAGTATCCTTTGGTACTCCACAATTCGATTCAAATTGATTCCTGAAGTCTTAATTGAATTAAAAATCTTTTTTTTTTTTCCAGGTTGCTTATTGGTGTTACTTTGTTATATTTGACTATGATAGATGGTTAAATATTGAAAAAAGCACAGCATCAAACCAAAACATGTTATTCTTTTTTATTGTGCAACATTTATTATGCTGCTTCCGGACCTTGAGATTGTAATGGGGAAGAAGCGGCACTTTATTATTATACTCAATACATTTTAAAGTTCTGTGGATGCTGCTCTGTGCAGTCTTTGGTGTTTACATGTTTTCTATAAAACCGAAACTGAACACGAGGTTGCAACACATGTTAGAGGTTCATGTCACAAGTTAAAAAACTTATTTCTCTGGATTTGAACATTCTTCACAAACATTTGGGATAATATAAATAAAAAAGTCAGCAGAATATAGAACACTGTTGAAGCTTTTATATATTTTACTGAAAAAATAGTTTATATTATGCTTTTGATGAAAGTGGATGTAAATCAAATGAAAATGGAATTGAGATTTATCCGTCAATATTTTTTTTCTCCATCTTGTTGCATTATTCATTAAAACTCTTGTTCAACTGCAGTCAGCTGCTGTCAATACCATTTCATTGCTACTTTTTCATTGCATACCATTAGTGAATCCTGACAGTAGCTTTTTGCTTAAACAGAAGCTGTTAGTAAATCTGGCCCGATGCATTTTAAATGGTACATTTTTTCATCTGCAATTTTATCAACAATTCTCTGCAAAGAGAAAATAATCACCTTATCAAGCAGATTTTCAGACACCTTCCTGCCATTAATTCGGGCAGCTTTGAGGATCTCTCTCTTGGCACTGTCTAGTTTTCCTTGTGTCAGAAGCCATCTCGCAGACTCAGGGAGAATCCTGCCAAACATGTAATAAATAAAATTAAATATTTAATATATTAAAATAGTGGCAAATGACAGCTCAGTGGTTAGCACTGTCTCCTCACAACAAGAAGGTCACTAGTTCGAGCCCCAGCTAGATCAGTTGGCATATTGTGTGGAGTTTGCATGTTCTCCTCTGGGTGCTCCGGTTTCCCTCACAGTCCAAGCACATGTGGTATAAGTGAATTGAATAAGCTAATTTGGCTGTATAGTGTATGAGTGTTTGTGAATGTATGAGTGTATAGATGTTTCCCAGTGCTGCGTTGTGGTTGGAAGGGCATCCACTGAGTAAAACATAAACTGGATAAGTAGGCGGTTCATTCCGCCGTGATGACCCCTGATGAATAAAGGAACTAAGCTAAATGAATGAATAAATGGATGAATATTTTAAAATTACTTTACAACAAAAACTTATAATAATAGCTTAATTAACACAGTAAAAATATAAAATATGTTATTTGTATATGTGCATGTCACAAGAGCCTTAGCTGATATCAGAAAATCATTATCACGCAAATGTTTTGTTAAACAATTAAAAGATTAATTAAAATTAGTTAGATAAGTAAATATTCATCTGACAAAAAAATAAATAAATAAAATTTTGATCATCTCTGAATACTCTCACCAGTAATAGATAAAGAAAAGCCCAACTGGTGCTGACAAAACCAGCTGTAAAACCCTCCAGTTTCGAATCCCATAGGCCACACCAGACAGCAACATCAGACCAATGGCAAAAAAGCAGTGCGATAATATGGTGAAAAGGGCCCGCTTGGCTGAACCACACCACTCAGTACCTACAGTGAAAGACAGTTGAGATACTATGTATAAAAATACTGCTAATAATAATCACAAACAAGAAATCTGTTTAAAGTCATCAACAAACTGAAATCGTAAGCAGGAGTTGTCTGTATGGTTGTAATAACTCCCCCAAACCCTTTTCCTGATTTTTCTCAATGAAATGCCTACTTTACTACATCCAATCAGCTCACGATAGAAAAAACAAGCCACGCCCACTGCTGTCTCATTTAATATCCCATTTCTCTACATCCAATCTGTCACAATACAAAAAAGAAAGGTCACAGCTTCTGATTCATGTGGACTTGAACACTGCGTTAAATAATAATAGTTTTACATTTTTACATTTACAACTTTAACTACTTCATAAGCTCTTCCTACATGCTATGAAATTTCAGACATGTGCGGGCATTGAAAGGAGTCAAAGGCAATACCCAGAACAAATGTGTTGATAGAGATCCCGGATATTGTGGTGCCAACAACAAAACGGAGGGCAATGTAGACATAGATGTTAGGGGAAAATGCAACTCCCACTCCAGACAGAAACTGCAGAAACAAGGAAAGCAGTGTGGCAAACCGCCGGCCATACCTGTGGCAAAAAAAAAAAAAAAAGAAAAAAAAAATGCACAGTTATTAAAACAAATTTGACATAAAACAGTAGGCTTTTAATTCGGAAATAAATACAAACTGCTAAATAATCATTGTGTGTATAATATCATTCTCATGTTGTTCAGGGATTGTATTCTACACGTACTTGTCTGCCATTGGCCCAAACAATAGGGCTCCAACAAGAAGACCAGCCATGTAGATGGACTGAGAAGCCTCACTATAAACCTTATTTTCACACACCAGGTCAAACTATGGTGAGATGAGAAAAAAAACATGATACAATAAAAGACAGCAAACAAACAATGAAAATAATATTGATGAGATATTTGTTAGCAAATTCATTCTTTAATTAATAAACAAACTAACTTTCTAAATTTTCTTTGACTCGTATTGCAGACAATAAAACAAACATTATTTAATGTGTTCCTGGTGATTATTATTTTTTTTTTTTTTTCAAAATAAACATGTATTCCAATTTTGGTTCTTGCAACACATTTCAAAAGAAGATAGAACAGTGAAGCATTTACCATTTCATAATGTTACCACTTATTTTCACAACACTTAAAAGACGTTTAGGGACTGAAGACTCCAAGTAATGAAATGGTTCACGTGTAATTTTGTCCCATTCTTCCTGCAAACATGTCTTAAGTTATAAGCAACAGTACAGGGTCTTTGTTGTTTCATTTTGCACCAAAATGCACCACACAATCTCTATTAGAGACAGTAGGTAGTGCTGTCGCCTCACAGCAAGAAGGTCACTGGTTCAAGCCTCGGCTGGGCCAGTTGGCAATTCTGTGTGGGGTTTGCATGTTCTCCCTGCATTCGCGTGGGTTTCCTCCGGGTGCTCCAGTTTCCTGCACAGTCCAAAGACATGTGATACAAGTAAATTTGGTAGGCTAAATTGTCCGTAGTGTATGAGCATGAATGAGTGTGTATTGATGTTTCCCAGTGATGGGTTTGAGCTGGAAGGGCATCCGCTGCATGAAACATGTGCTGGATAAGTTCATTCCACTGTGGTGACCCTGGATTAATAAAGAGACTAAGCCAAAAAGAAAATGAATGAATGAATGAATGTTTAAAAACAATGTTCCTTAAAGAAAGATAGGAGGGCATGTGGACACTTCACCCTCAACGGTGCATAAAATAATTAAAAGATTCAAGGAATCTGGAGGAATTTCAGTGCGTAAAAGACAAGAATGCAAGTCTAAACTGAACTACCGTGATCTTCAATCCCTCAGGTGTCACTGCATTAAGAATCCTTATTCTTCTATAAGTGATTTTACCACATGTGTTCAGGACTACTTTGGCAAACTTTCGTCAAGTACCACCATAAATAGTTACATTCACAGATGCCAGTAAAACATGTACTGTGCCAAAAGGAAGCCCTATGTTAACAGTGTCCAAAAGTGCTGTTGACTTCTCTAGAATCTGAGGCATCTGGGATGGACCATCACACAGTGGAAATGTGTACTGTGGTCAGATGAATCAGTATTTCAGGGAATTTTTGGAAGAATGGATGCTGTGTGCTCCTAACCAAAGAAGAAAAGGATCAGCCAAACAGATACCAGCAACAAGTCCACAAGCTAGGGTCTGTCATGGTTAGGGGTTGTGTCAGTGCCCTTGGCAAAGGTAACTTGAAAACGTGAAAAGTATTGATTTGGATAATGCTGCCTTTGGGACATCCATGCATATTTCAACAAGACAATGCAAAACTTCATTCTGCACTTATTACAAGTCCTGGCTTCAGAGAAAGAGAATACAGGTACTTTACTGTCCTGTCTGCTGTGCCGCTCTGTCCCCAATAGATAGACAAAATGTGACAACAAAGAGCCTGTACTGTTGTCCATCTTTAGACTTGTTTGCAGGAAGATTGGGACAAAATTACACCTGAAACACTTTGGTGTCTTCAGTCCCTAAACGTCTTGTTAAAAGGAATGGCAACATTACAAAGTTGTAAATGCTTTACTGTTTCAACTTTTTTTGAAATGTGTTTCAATAACTCAAACTGATAAACATGTTTATTAAAAATAAAATCATGAGGAACACATTGAATTATGTTAACTGTATTGTCGGCAACAAAATGCAAGTCAACGTTAATTGAAAAATCACTTCTTCCTTTTTTTTATTTGCGTTTTCCACACTGTCCCAACTTTGTCTGATTTGGGTTGTATATTACTTAATGTAATATACACTTTATAGACTTTTTGTAAACTTAAAGAAAAGGTCTCACTTATTTGAGTTACCCGGCGCCCGGTGCACTTACATTAAATATAAAATAGATAGCGGTTGATTTTATGCTAACAAAAATGTGATGAATATCTGTCAAACAAAATGTAGGGCTACATGCAAACTCAATTTTAAGGAAGCATAACAGTAATCTTTTCAATGTTTTAATTTTAACAGGAATAAAACAGATTATGATGAGATATTTAAAAAAATCTAAGCATTTCCTAAAGAATTTTTTTGTTTTGTTAAAGTCTCAAAAAAACTTTTTTACATAAATTGAATGAATGAGTGGATGGATAAATGGATGAATGAACAAAGAAGAAACAAAAAAATAGTGGAATAAATAAAAACAAAACACTGAACATTCAGTCAAACTACATCATAAAATATAATCACAAAATAGTTTTTTATTAAACATTAAAATGTAAAGCAGTCACAAAAACAGACTTACCTTTAACTAATCGTATAGTCAAGTTTACTGACAAAAGTGACTTATTAAATTATCAAGTAATATTAAATTCTTTAAAGCGTAACTGTATTAAATAAATGCTATATATATATATATATATATATATATATATATATATATATATATATATATATATATATATAATTATATAATTATATATTTAGATTTTTGTTAATGAGAAAACAAAGCTTTAATTCATTTGAAAGTAGATAGGACCCTCTTAACACATCATATATAATACTACAGTATGATAAACACAAAGAGCAGTACCTCAGTTATAAGTGTGCTGCTGTCTTTCGGTGCCTTATAAACCCATCCATCAATACACGATGTAGTTGTGTTTATTCCATAATGTTCAATATCCTCAATATCCATCTCTACAGGTGTGAACATCTTACAACTCTCATACTGTCCTTTGCTGTCCAGCGGGACGGTGAGGTTCAGCTGCTTTTCCTCGGTAAGGTTTGGAGCCTGTCGGAGGATCCAGCTGCTGTTGCAGTAGTGCGGGAAGCTGATGGCGGTGAACACCTGGCCGAACATGTGGAAGGCGGTGAAAATGTTGGGGAGACATACCGCCACCAACAAGCGCTTCTGAAACGCGCCAAATTCGCCGACCGATGACAAAATCTGCGTGAAGTCGATCATGATCTTCTGGCGACCATTAGCGGCGGCGGTGCGCTTTTAAACGGACGCAAATTAATTTTTAAACTCGTCACAGGTTTGACATTATCTGTGCACGCGCGCAGTCGAGATAATGAAGAAACAAAACGAAAAAACACCGAGAAGGACAACAGTATAACTGTTCATACTGCAACAGCTTCATACCATGTACTGTAAGGTGCGCATTTGGAGTCAGGCTGTTTCCAGTGATTGAATGTAGCTAGTGAATGGAGTGTGAGTGTGGTGTGTGCATGTTTGTGACCTGTCAGGATCGAGTTTATATGTATGTGCGTGTGTATGTGGGTGTATTCATGCGTCAAGTTTATATGTATATACACAAGTTTCATCCATGTTGTTTTGAACATCCGGTAGTATAGGTGTATATGCGAGTAATTTATAGGTGTATATACACGTGTTTTATGTATGTGTTGATAAGCAAAGTTTGATTTAAATCCTATACGGCACCTCATAAGGACACACGTGTATAATAGTACACAGGTATTACGTGAAGATTTTAAACAGATTTTAATTATGAAAACATTGATGTCCCCATTTCTCAAAAAGCTTTTAAATCATTCGGAATGGGGTTTTTTTCTTTTATTTTATTTTTTCAGAAAGTAAAAATTGCACCCAGTTTCTTGTGAGGGTTGTGATTAGGTAAAGTACATGGGTAAGGTAATAAAAAATAATGTTTGTACATCATAAAGACAATGACAACTTATAGAATCTCTCAACAATTCACAACAAATAAGCCTGCGTGTGTGTGTGTGTGTGCGTGCGTGCGTGCGTGTGTGTGTGTGTGTGAGAGAGGGAGAGAGAGGGAGAGAGAGGGACTTTGATTTATGAGCTTAATACTTTTTTTTTTACCAGTTGAAGGCGGTCTTAATATTCTGATAATGTAATGTAATGCTTGTAGGGCCAAGAACATTATTAAGTCAACAATGTATGTATGGGTTAAGTGATAAAAGTAGCAAGGACCATGTGGCCAAAAAAAAAGGGTATCCTGAAAAGCATTGATTATTATAGCTATTATTACTAATAATTTCCACTTTTAAAAAAAAAGCTAATAATGAGTATCTAACTTTACAATTGGGTATATTGAACTGATTCAATCAAAGGAAATACATTACACAAAAAAAATCTTGTTTATTTTGTTAAAAAATATATTAAATGCTAGTATAATGACAATATATTTGGTATATAAACTATTGCTGAGCCAAATAACATTTTATTAGAGGATTTTGGTAAATTATGGTCAAAATGTATAACTGTCAATAATTTATTTGTAAAAAGAATTACATTAAAATTTAACATTCCAGGTTCAGCGTAAGGTTAGACTAGTTTGGTATTTTTCATTAGTTTTAGTTTGTATTTCGTTTTGACTTTTTGTTTTCAAATTCAGTTAGTTTTAATTAGTTTAAGAGGTATATTTCCTAGTTTTTATCAGTTTCTATATTTTAAAATGTCTAAGTTTTTGTTTAGTTTTTATTAGTTTCAGTATTAGTTTCAGTTTTTTCTCTAAATAAGGATATTTGTTAGGTGCAAGATTCAAAATCAACAGGATAAATATTGTAGCTGTAGGCTAATAATAAACTCAGTCATACATGTTTTGAAACATGTATTCAGAGAACTCATGAACACTATCCTCTACCACTACCATCGACCCATCCTCAAATTCAAATACAACAGCCCACAAGATAGCAGTCACACAATATGTGTGCAAGGCTGCTCTGAAGTTAGACACACAGTAATGGGCAGGTTTGGATTAACCAAAGGGCATCATGGGCACAGGCCCAGGGGCACATCCACACTTAAATTTTGCCTACTCTTCATCACGAGGAAGACAAGTAAGAATCATTAATAAGTGTGTGTATTATGAAGGACTCAGATTCCTAGAACTGGATTGGAGAGGTGTTATCCAAATCATGTGCATTATAAGTTTGTAGATGTTATACATTAAAAATACCCTTAAAAACAAAATGTAGTACTGCTTCAGTGAACTTGAACAAGTATATTAAAATCTATTAATTTCCCCTAGTTGTATTAGCATTTTTTTTCAAAGTGTGCTTTAAATACTTTAAAAATAAGTAAAATCTTTTTAGTCTAGAAATATATGTACTGTATATCATTTATTTTATAAATGTGGGCAATACATTATAGATTATTTTTTTTAACAAATATTATATTAATCTTATTATTTTATTAAGCTAGGGGGCCTACAAGACATTGTGCCCAGGGGCCTCTAAATTATTAATCCGGGCCTGGTGATGGGCTTAGCAAATGCATTTGCGCTCATACAGTATGTGCGCCCATAGGTATTCTGGTCTTAAAAGGGAGGCGTGTTGAGGTGTATTGCTGGTGCGTTGCTATTTTGAAAAACTATAATAGATTTTTCAATAGACCAAAACAAAACGGTCTATTGTCCAGGGCAGAGCGCGTTAGTTATGCGCCTCGCTTACACACTACTTAATACACACAAGATGTAGAGCAATACGCAAATATCTTTAAATATGAAAAAGAATTAAAATATTAAGGATAAATATAGGATATAATAATGATATATATAGGATATAAATATAAAGGATTAAAATATTACAAAACATATTATTTTCTAGCTTACATACATTTAAAAACCACTGCCTTCATGCCTTCTTCATCTTGGGAGGCTTTTTCAGTTCATTCATAACAATTTGCTTTTGTATAATTTTATCATTTATTATATCCATATTTATATTTGTTTTATTAAAAACAAGCTTAGATTTGCCTACCTGTCGGGTTTTAGACCATATGGGGCACAGCATGTGTATTAGGATATAACTCAGGTTTTTGACCACACTTCGTTATTATTGTTCATTTATTCGTTTGCTGGAAATTAGAACAGAATTTAGAAATAGTTTAGAAACAAATACTTGCGCGTAACAAACAAAATTAATTATTTATAGGCTAATAAATCTGTGCTGCAAATGCTCTGTTTAACACAGTTTTTTCACTTACAAAGTCCTTATGTAAATAGCAAATGCGCTTATGGCGTGATGCAACTGGCTCTTAAAGGGAATGGGAGATGATCAACCCTTGTAGATCATGTGCCATAGCGCGAATCAGATTTTTCCATCCTTATATTAGCAAAAGTGGAAGCCCTTTGTGTTTTACAGTGTTGTACAGGAAGTGACAGTGTGAAGTACTAGTGGAGGTAAGTCACAAGTCTTCCATGTCCTGTCTAGAATCCACATGTTGTAGTCCTGCAGGTTTGGACAAAGCTGCCAAATGATGTTGTTTTCTGAGAGTAAGGTCCTAGCAGAATTTGTCAGGCAGGGGCTGTCACCAAGTCAGGGACGGGCTGCAAGATCTGGGAATCTGTTGGGATGGGCTAAGTGCTGCAACCAGCAAGAGCGGATCCTCCCTGAATTTTCACAGCATCTGCTCAAGCAGGCTTACTGAGGGAAAGGCCAGCTGAGTGCTAGAGTACCCTTACGTTTTTACACTCATAAATGCACAAAGGGAGAAACAAAAGACTTAGACACTGCCACTTAATGTGACACTGAGTTCAGTACTGATTTCCCGGGCAGTTGCAACAATTGAGTTCTTCTCAAGAGCTGGTCAGCTGGATCATACATAAGTCTCGCCCAAAGTTCATCCGTCCTGCCTGCAGTCTCTATACCAAAACTGTATGAAGAGCTAACAAGTCTATAAAGGTATCTTATTTTCGGCAGCCTCAAGCTTTTCACCCTTACAGCCTGCTAGTTGCTGTCGAGCACATCTAGCTGGCTTAGTCTGACAATTTCGCTTGATGGTCATTTTGCATCAAAATTGTTAAATCAATCAAGTTTATTATATTTTCTCATCAAAGTGGAAATCAGTTTACAAAATAATGAAAACTTGACTAACTGCTTCACTATCACTTTAATAATTAGTTTAATTCATATATTTTACATAGAGTTAAATATATTAACTTAAACTAAAGATCTCGCTGTGTTTAAAGGTAAAAAGACAAACGTAACTCCTCCATACCAACAGACCAAGATTGGCAGATTACAAACGATTACAAACTCTCGAATATTTGACCTGACAAGGCAGTAGATCTTCCAGAAAGAGACTGACAATGGCAGATGAAGCGTGTCGTGGAGCACACATCATGATAACAAACAGTAGCATGAAGATGTGTTCGGGCAGAGGAACTATCTAATCACACGTGACAAAAAATGCTTTATTTTGGGAAAACTCATAACAAGCCACTGAAGAAACGCAGATGCAGTGAGTTGAGGCTCTTTGACAAATTATGGGGTAGAAAAACATCTGCCTCGGCCTTTGTTGGAGGGCAGAATGTGGAGATAAACAGGAACTGACTTCAGAATGGTGTTAAATTGATCGTTGAAGGAAAACAAATTAGACAAAAGGCTTGGCCAAGTATGTGGTAAACCATACTGATTAAGATGTTCGCTGCCCTTGACAAATGTGACAACTGTCAGCCACTATATTCAGTGGCTTTTCTAAAGAGTTGTGAAAAAAAAAATCACACACTTTGTATTAAACTTTTTGTATATAAAATATCTGCTTTATAATAATACTAAACTCAAACATAAGCTTTATAACATGATAATACCTTTTGAATACTTTAGCTTATCAATGAAGATGATTTCTGCAGGAGTCCCATTATTCCACAAGGAAGTCACGGTGTCATCAAACTAGTGCTTTGTTTGTTGTTAACACATGCCCTAGTGGCAAATATTATATACTGTGCCTTTAAAGAAACACTCCACTTTTACCCCTCAGAGTTAATTTACGTTCACCATTATTGAATCAAGTCAGGTGGGAGCATTAATAGCTTAGCATAGCTTAGCTAAAAATCATGTAAATGAATTAGACCAATAGCATTTCAGTCAATAATGACAAAAGAGTTTTGAAAATTTTCCTTTTTAAAGACTGACTCTTACACTCACCAGTCACTTTATTAGGTACACCTTACTAGTATTGGGTTGGACCCCCTTTTGCCTTCAGAACTGCCTCAGCTGCACATCAATGATGCAAATCTCCCATTCCACCACATC